CAGCCCCTCCCACATCGATAAACACCGTGACATGAACGACGAGGACATTGAGTAAAGATCATGTTGTATAATGAATCAAACTTTACAAAATTACAAGGAAAAGTCCATCTTACTCTCAATAAAACTTTACGAAATTACAAGGAAAGTCCGTCATATTCGATCACAAGGAAAGTCCATCATACTCAGTGAGCACCCGGGTATAAACTCATTTCATCCCAATCTTCCTCAGGAATAATCCTTTTGTATAGCAAGGTATCAGCCTCTTGATACAGTTCAATGTGAGCCAGTTTGGTGTAGTGGTTAGGTGCGCGGACTCTAGTCTGGGAGAACCGGGTTCGATTCCCCCACTCCTCCACTTGCACCTGCCGGATGACCTTGGGCAAGCCATAGTTCTGACAAGAGCTGTTCTTGGAAAAAAAGAACAGCTTCTGTCAGAGCTCTCTCAGCCCCACCGACCTCACAGGGTGTCTGTTGTGGGGAGGGGAAGGGAAAGGAGTTTGTAAGCCGCTCTGAGACTCCTTTGGGTAGTGAAGGGCGGGGGTATAAATCCAATCTCTTCTATGCTTCTTCTTCAATGTCTGTTAGGAGCAAACCAGTGCTTAACTTCTTGTCGGGCTCTGGGAGTTCCCCAGGCCATGTGAATCCGCTCGCCATGATGAAGGACCAAAGAGGGACGCGAGTACCTCAGAATAAAAGGGGTGAGGAGTTGAATCACTACCTCAAGCCACCTTTCTCGGTTGTGCAGCCACGACCAGTACATTAGCTGTCTCCGATATTCCTCCCCGGTACTCCTCTGCGTCTCTCTTTATATCCCTCCTCCTCCGTGGTAGTGACCCACCCCTTTCTGTGTTTCCTAATTCTATTGCTTCTTTGTTGTGCCCATCACCAAGCCTCTCATGTCTATGGTCAGTTTCTCTACATGCCCCGCCTCCCTCCGTCTCTCCGGATGACCTGTTTGTGTTTGGGTGTTTAGGGGAGTGCCCGCTTCCCGTGCGCACGAGGGCTTGGCGTCTCTATGCCCAAGGCTCGGTGGCGTCTCCATACCCAGTAAGACTGGCCCCTTCCACGCATCTCTCTTTCTTTCCCTGGCTCTTCCCTCTTGTTTCGGCGGCCGAGGGAGGGAGTCTGCCGCGGACCCGTTCCTCAGCTCCGTCTCCTTCATGTCCCCCCTCCCTCGTGCTCTCCGTTGCCGCTGGGGGAGGGGCCTGACGTCTCCGGGGTCTTCTGTAGATCTTCTTCCGATGCCTTCATTGTTTGGGGCTCGTGGAGAGCCCGGCGCGGGTCGCGCCAGTCCCGCCATAGCGGGACACTTCTTCTTTATTTTCTGCACTTTATCCTAGAAAAAATCCATGGTACTTAAACACCATGGATCATTTAATTTTGTAAAGTGTTATTGAGAGTATGATGGACTTTTCCTTGTAATTTTGTAAAGTTTGATTCATTATACAACATGATCTTCTCTAAGCGTCCTAGTCATTCATGTCACAGTGTTTGTTGTTTGTTGTATTTTCCACATGGATACCTGTGACCTCCCCCCCTTGGTTTTTTCTCCTCCCACATCAACGGCATGATGATGTAACACGCCAGGCACGTCACGCAGGGACGTTCTAGCATTTTGATCAAAACTGTGATATTCTTGCCTGCAAGAACATTGGTGACTCCCACTGGAAGGAGTTGTGAAGGATCGAGGGGATCTCCTAGCTACAGGCCCTGCCTCACAGTCTGTCCATTATTCATCCCCAGCAGAGTTTTGAGAGTGCCAGGAACACTGCGCGAATGCCTCTGACACTTCCAATGGTTGCTGGTCCAAATGATGGAGCAGGTTCATCTAGGAGGACCTGTGAAGGCTACACAATTTGATACAAAATGACCGTGCTGGTTGGTCCCTTTTCCTGAATGTCCAGTATGAAGTTCCAGCACTAAAGCAGACGCAGGGGGGGTAGACAATATTTTCAGGACCTGTAGTGCTGCAATCTTTGATGCAGTGAGCCGATGGTCATGCATGTAGTGAGAAGGTACAGGTTTTGATATCTAGGGTGGAACGCCCGGTTGTCCTGGAGGAAAGAATTCCTGGAAGCAGACTGATGGGAGAGGAAGCCTTTCACAATCACCTTTGATTTACAAGCAACTGTGGGCATTTAAATGCAGTTGAAGAAGGTCATATTCCATATTGAGGCCGACTCTGATGAACAAGATGGACATCTTCCTAGCTCTGGCCCACATGATAGGAGGCTGTTTTGCGAGATTAGTGGCTCAGCGCTCATGAAGCTGCAGTGAGTGAGGCCCTTAGTCTATCAACACCAGTATTGCCTACTCCAGGGTCTCAGGCCTTTCCTATCACCTGTTGCCTGAGCCTTCTTAACTTCAGATGCTGAGGATCGAACCTGAGACCTTCTGCAAGCCAAGCAGATGCGCTGTCCCTGAGGCAGTCCTCTCCCCAACTTATCCGTTCTACAATTGTGGCTTCATTCCAAGTTCTCACTATCAAAACCCTTCTCTGGGATCAAAGGTCGTTCTTGGGAGACGACACCTTCCCTGAGCCTATGGGTTGCTGG